TTGTGAATTGCATAAGGAAAAGGAATCTCTTTGGTTGCGTAAACTCTTCTTAAGAAGGAATCTGTAATGCCCAGCTTAATGAAAGTTTAAATTGAGTTTTAATAAATAATAATAAAAAATTAGCACCTAAATATGATTTTACTAATTGTTTTTATATGGAGTGCGTTTTTATAAATGTGTGATTGATGACAATTTTCCAGACCAAACTCGACCAGAAATCATGCACACAGAGAAATCATGAGACGAGCGATTTTACTTGGTTTGGGTTTTGAAGAAACCCTACGTCCAAGGGTATGGACAAATTCCCCAGCACAATCTACTATCACAAGGAACAAGAACAATACACACTCAAATCTCACCTAAATACAATCGAAAAGCTCTGATAATCCCTCTAACTTTTCCCAATCAGTCGAAATCCTCACAGCTTTCACACTCCGGGATTTGTTTTCTAAATTCTTTATTGATTCTAATCGTTTTATGATTGACATTATTTTGAAAATGATTGACTGGTTGATTGTGTTTAAGAATATATGTGCAGCTGGCAAGTACTTTATGGAAGGTTTTTGTAAGATCTGGAAACTTAATTTAATTTATGTTTTTGAAAGTCAACTATTGATCAAAAGATGGTAAATTGATAATTGGTGATTTGATTAATATTTGATTGAGTTTTCATAGCTTGATGATCTTCCTCTGTCTCCTAGGAATGTGTCCAGAATCATATATCAGTTTCAGAAATGTTTCAGAATTAAAGCAGATTAATTCGGACTGGTTTTGAGAAAGTTGACCTTGACAGCTATGCTGCAGTTATTGTTGCAACAAGGATATGCAACAGATTTGGTTCAGCGAATTAATTGAAGATGTCGTCAAGCTGTTAACATTCTGCTTATTTATTCAAAGAGTCTCTCGAGTCTTTGGACACCTTTTGATTAGTTTTTCTGGGTTGTGAGATAGGTGTGAGCACTTGTATTCAGAGAGATGATTTGAGTATTTTTCGGGAGAAAAACTTAGCTGAAGGGATTCCAATGTTAAAAAGTCGAGGGGATCTCACTGTTCAAGTTCATTGGGAAATTGCAAGTTCATAGGCGTCTTCCTAGAGAAGAAGTCTCGGGTAGATTAAGTCCAATTGAATTGTAAATGAGTTCTTAGTGAATTGTTCATCATCTGGGCGTGGCCCCACAGAGTAGGTTGTGACCGAACCGCGATATCATTTCTCTCGTGTTTTTTTATTTTACGTCTCTGCATTATATATATTTTCTTATAAAGTATTAAAAGACTCAAATCAGTACCAACACAAGAATACAATCTTTAAGTGAAAATTACGGAGGATATAACAGGGCAAGACTTTTTAATATCTGTTCTTAATCACAGGTGTCCTGTTTATACATAACAAGTAATGATGAAGATGATTATGTTGATGAAAGTAAAAAGAAAGAAGTAGTCAAGGAGAATGCTATTGCGGGTGAAAAGAAGGTATTGGAGAAAATCAATACCAATGTTGGAGAGGAGCGTGAAAATGATTAGGGCGAGAATAATGTTATCGGTGATGTTTCGAATAAGAAAATTGAAGAAACTATCACCTCCTTTTTAAAGGATTTTCGTGGTATGGAATCAAATGATGCCAAACATGTTAGTTTTTTCCCCTATGTTTTCAGATTTTCTTTTCCTAAGGATTTTAAGCTATGTTTCTGCGGATTTTTTCTTTCTAATTTTGCTAGACTATTTGCTATAGTCACCAAACTATGTGCTATAGTCAGTCAGACTATGAGTGAGTAAAAATCTGGCAAATTGTGTTTGAGATGGTGCAAACTATTGATCATAGTCTGATAGACTAAATGCCATAGTCTGCCTATGTCTCAGGTTCTGTAGAGTATTGCTCATAATCTATCAGACTATGGGTCAGTTTGGTAGTGATTCTTAGAGTCTAAAATCAATTCTCTAGCCATTCACAGTTGAAATTTGTGTTTGGTAAAAATCATAAAAAATGATTCTTAAAGAATTTTTGAAGAATTTACAACCAAAATCAGAAGCAACAGCTTTGGCTATTAGATTGTGCGGCAATCTTCTTGAAGTATAATTAATGAACCTTTCTAATACCCATATTATCCCTGCTAAAATTTAAAAATCCCATACCCAAAATTACAGTTACCAAACGTTTAGTTACCTTTTGTAACAATTGCTTTTTTTTTTTTTTTTTTTTTTCCAGCACAACTAACAATAATTTTTTAAAAATCTACAACACTACTAAATTGGTCTTATGTGCTATAGTCTCACAGATTATAACTTATAATTTTTTTAAAAAAAACTTGGGTAATTTTCTGTTTCTGTCAATTTGTTAATTATTTTTTTTTCCTTTTTTAAAAATTTTTTTTTTTTTTTTTTTTTTTTTTTTTCCAGCACAACTAACAATAATTTTTTAAAAATCTACAACACTACTAAATTGGTCTTATGTGCTATAGTCTCACAGATTATAACTTATAATTTTTTTAAAAAAAACTTGGGTAATTTTCTGTTTCTGTCAATTTGTTAATTATCATGTCATCTTTTTTACAGGTAGAACATTTATCCTCTTTGGACAAAGGGGAGAATACTTGTATTGATGGTCAAGTAGAAGACGTTAGTGACGCTACGAATGATGCCGTTGATGATGCTGAGGAGGAGTGTGTTGGGGATGAAAATGAAGACCATACACCTGCTCATCACAGGGTTGTTGTGTATGATGAGTTGTTTGTCGCGTCACAACTACAATTACCGCTTGATGATGATGATTTTCTCAATTTTTCTGCATTTTCAGTTGATGATGCGGTTTCTAAGCCACCAAAGGAAGATGTCGAGAGGTTTGAGAGATGGTGTAGGACTTGTTATAGGGCTATGTGTTTCATTCTTTCTTTTGTCTTTTTATTTATATATATGTTTATTTTTACAACCTATTCTGGTTTTTCATTTAATTTGGTTCGTTATTTGGTTTGTTGTAGGCACAAACTGTGGGGCCCTGCACGTGATTCCCATGTGATAAAAACCTGGTCTTGATTTTATAGTGGAAGTTGTTGATTCAGAATACAGGTTTTATGACCTTTATACACAGCGCCACAAGCCTAGCAGGAATTCACTTGTTTATTCTTTAAGTTATCCGGTTGACTTATTTAATAAATTATTTAATTAGAATTTAAATTAAAATAGTTTGACTTTAATTCGAATTTTGAGTCATAATTGGAAACTAGATAAAAAGAGAAAATTACCTCCTTCCCCTAGCTATTAAAATCGCCAACCATAGGAAAATTATCCTTATGATGTGGCCGACCTCTATAGATAAAGATAGAGAAATTTTTATTTCCAAAGGTAAACGGGAAACTATATTTTAAATAAGTTTTAAAATAAAGTAATAACTAATTATATATTGTTTTGGCTTTAAGATAAAGCAAAGAGTTCTCCTATGATTTTGTAAATAAGAGACAATAGAAATTTGAACACATTTTTGCTCTACCTGCTGTTGGTATAGGCGTGTACCACGAAGAGAAAACAGAAGAAGAGTTCTTCTAATTCATGATTCCTCCGTATACATATGTTGATAGTGGTGGAAGAATATTAGAGAGTGATCAAATCCCGTAGTTCTAAATTAGAGCCCACACTCTAGGTTTTACAGATTTCATGGATTAGACGTGGAAGATTTAGGTTTTCTGAGAAAGCTTAGAGCTTGAATCGTTCGAGGCTAAAAAATTTAAATTATCAACCTAATTGTTCGTTAGATAAATTAATAAATAGCTTAATTTGATTAATTTATTTGCGTATGAATTAGTATATTATATAAAGCATCTCGCGAGTTTTATAAAAAAATTTATTGTACACGAATTACAACTATTCGCTTCCGCATCTGAAATCGTCTCATAAACTAACAGTAGATAAACGTAAGAGAATCGCTTAATGATGGAGGAGACTAGACATGAATGTGCTTGTGGCGGCGGACACTGGTTGTCGAAATATGATGAGAGTTTTGGAACGTTTATTTTAAATTTTGTTTGTGATTATTTAAAACTTATAGTTAAGTTTTTATTTTGAGATTTTTTTGAAGAATTGGGGTTTTTTTTTTTTTAATTAGTTTTGAGAAGTTACTTGATATTGATATATTTTTAATAAAGGACCATCAGTCTATGTTTGTTTTCAAAAGAAAATTTTTATTCCGTATTTAAAAGTGTTCCATTGCGTTTTAATTTTTTTTATATGCTTTTATATATTTGTAATTTGATATATTTCCATAGTAATTTAAAAAAAAAAAAAATCGTTTTCCGCATTTAATTAAGAGATCTTGAAATTTCCGTGGCACTCCCGCTTGCCATATCCTTGATGACATTCAGATATATTATTGGTTTCAACGCGGGATTCACATCAATTTTCGAAAAAAAACATATAAATTTAAATTTGTAATTATCATATAATACCTTTGGTATGTTTATAGTTGTATTAATTTCCAACAAACTGGTGTCCATGTTGTGCTCAACCGCCGGAATCATTTTAATTTCATATCGAAACAACTTCAAAGGGTTTAAGATATAACTAGTATTTATAATCAATAAAGGTTTCTAATTAAAGATACGATGAAGAAATTTAACTGAAAATGGTAGAAAAAAGAAGAAAAAGAATATGAAATATTTAACATCCTCACTAAATTTTATTTAATCAGCTCTATTTATAGAGCTTAGTCGGAACATCACACTGAAATATTTATCATATATTACACATGCACGAAATAGCTCTACATATATAGAGAGCTAATGTTATACATTCTCAAATCATTCCTCGTGCATATTAATGTGATCAGCATCAGCACCAGCAAAGAAATATTACCATTATACACTTGGTCATGATTTGACTTTGTATATAATCAAACAGAAACCAGAGACATCTTAGAGACGTCATGTTTTATTTACTATATACTACATTGGAGATATATATATATATATATATATATATACACACACATGTATAACTTAACATTTGTCGTAAAACCCAATGGAAATCAGGTAATCAGAACTGGTGCTTCCTTCAAATCCAACAAATTTGTGACCGGATGGGAATTCGACACTGAAACGCTTTCCTTCGTCAACTCCATGAGGTCCATATATAGGTAAGCTTGTTGGTCTTAATTTTGAGCGAGCGCACTATTTCATCATAATTTGTCACTTTACCAGTATATCCACTCACCTCTTCTATGAACTCGTCTGAGTCTAGATTAATCTGGATATGTCAAAATATTAATAAATTAAAAAGAGAACTACATATAGACCCACGCATAATAGAGAGAAAGAGATTTGGCATAAATTACATAAAAGCTATTTTTTGATGAAAATAAATGAGGGAATAATTAAGAAACTAACAGTCACTCGTTTGTAGGTATCATCACCACTTGAATGTTTGCACTCTTGATCATCCGCATACGTCTCCATTTTCGTGTTCACCATCGTCCCATTTGTTACCAACCTTCCCTCCATGTGGCCCCCGTTCTGTCACTTGGGAACCTTTGACAAGCTGCAAAACATTTTTGAAGGGACAATATTTAAGTCTTCATATATATATATATATATATACATAATAATTACAAGCTTTCATTTTATTTAGTCTACCACCTTTTTATACACGTACACAAACGCACACTGTGTACATATAATATGGAATCTCTTCTAAAAGTCCAACGTACCTACATATGTAACAATTAACAAATGTCCTTAAAAGGTCAAACTAATTAATTTCAGTTCTTTCAAAAAATGGTCAAACTAAATTTGCCCACGGTCAGAAAATCGATCTTTTTTCTTTTTTTCCCTTTTTTTTTTTTTTTTTTTTTCATTTTCAGATGTGAAAACTTAAAAAATAGCTTTACAGTTGTAATGGAAATCCAATAACGCGACCGGCTTGTAACTTGTTGATTCAAACTTTGAACTAATCAATAAGGAAACAAAAGGAAAATCATTAAATTCAAAAAAGAAGGCTAGCTCATCAAGTAGCTAGAACTGTCACGATTTTATTTTATTTTATTTTATTTTATTTGACAATTTTAAGTGAAATTAGTATAGGTTTTATGCATGGATTAGTGTGAATGTGTGTGCATAAAATGAAGAGAATCTTACCTGTCCGTGCGCCATCGGGATGAAAATGAAGAGAATGTGGATTTGGATATGGAGAAGTAGTGTGCGGTGTTACTAGGTTGGCTTAGCTCTATATATAGACATAGCAAATATCTAACTTATTTGCAATGTTTTATTGTATGTAAACTTGAAAATGGGCAAAGTTGTAATACGTTTTGGAGCATCAATTGGTGAATTTGATATCTTGTCTTGTTGTCTTTATTTCTCTTTTCCACCTGCATGCTTACATATGTACGTATCTTAATTTATTTTGGAATATATACGATGGACACTTTACTCCCTTTTGTCGAGACATTACGTGATTCTCATACTGTCTTTTATTTATTTATTTTTTTTTTTTGGATTTTGAATTATTTTCAGGGTTAAATACATAACTATGCCTCTTAGTTTCAAATACTTCGATTGTATCCCTCATAATGCGTGAATATAAAAAATTAGGCAAAACAACACAACTACCCCTAAATAGTTTATAAAATCTATGTTATATATTTTAAAAACATAAAAACACTAAAGCAAAACATCTAGTTTCAAAAAATGATATTGAGTTTTAGGTTTTTTAAATGCTAAAATATTTTTCAAAATTTTTTCTTAAGAAAAAGATAATTTTCATAAATAAATTAACAAATCTAATTAAGGGCGTCTTCATATGTTCCCCTTGTTTTTTAATCCACAAAGTGTGTGCTGGATGGAATTAAAATAATTTTTTCGAATTCAAAGAATATCTTTGTATTTTTAACAACAAAGAGACAAAGTGATAAATATGACGTGGTATTATTTATTTAAACTCTTAAAATGAAAAATCATGATAAGTTTGGCGAGTCTATGGTGGGGGCACTATTTTTCCCTATACTGGTAGGATATAATTGAATGGTTACATGTAATTAGATTCAGGATAAATTTTATAAATTATCCATGAACTTTGTCACTTGTATTAACATGGTTCTTAAACTCTAAAATGTGCATGTTGTGCCCTTTAAACTTTGCCACTTGTGTCAACATGCCATTTGAGGTTAACTTCGTTAAGTTTTTAGATTAATTACAAAAATTTCCCCAGCATTATACCCATTGTAACATTACATAGATTTGCTCCTCATTTTTTTCCCTCTTTATTGCCTCTAATCAACTAATGTTTTGAGAATTAGTGCTTAACTAACATTTTTAGAGGGGAATGTATTCAATAAACATCAAATATCATAGATAATTAACAATTTAATAGTTATATCAACATTTTTGTTCAAACAACTAATAAAATCAAGATGGAGGGAAAAAAATTGGAGATATATCATAGTTCGGGGGTAAAACATGTACATTTTAAAATTCAAGGGCATATTGATACAACTGACAAAGTTCAGGGCGCGTTTATAAGAATTTTCGTTAAAAATCTTAACAGAGTTAACCTCATGGAGCATGTTGACACAAGTGACAAAGTTCAGGAGGCATTTTATGCATATTTTAAAGTTCAAGAAGCGTGTTAATACAAGTGATAAAATTCTAGAGGAATTTATAAAATTTGTCCTTAGATTTATGATGGGTCCCACACTTTTTAGAAGTGAAGGTAGAGTTGAGCGCACTAGATTTAAGTGGCCTTGCACTGTTTTCTTTTACCCTTTCTCTCGAACAATGTTAATGAACATTGTCACTTGCTTGTCCTGGACCACAAATGTTTTTTTTTTCCCCCTTAACAATTTGACAACAAAATTTCAAGCAGTAGAACAATCTCACTATTTTTTTTTTTTTTTGTTTTAAAAGAATTTACAAACCAAACACTATTAGACATGTTGAAACATTTTGAAAAACAACAAATGATAATACAAACACCATTGACAATGTTGTGTTTACTCTGTTTAGGATATGTTTGGTATTACTTTTAGAGATTTCTTTTAACTATTTATAAGAATTTACAACGGGGAAGAATATTTGGTAACCCCGCTTGTAAATTCTAAAAGCTATATATTACCCAACAGCAAAAATTGAGAAGCATTTTAACATTTTTTTTTTTTCATATCGGTTTTTGTTTTTCATTGCAGTAGCTTTTGAGTAACACAACCATAACAAAAAGTTTCAACCTGTTTGCCTTGATTCTCTTAGTTAGGTTGACTTTTGACCTATTTTCTTCCAACCTGTTTGCCTTGATTCTCAGTATTTTAGACCACTTCAGTCTAGTCATTCTGGTTGCTCTGGTTTGCAGTTGCATACCTTGGTTTCCTTGGAGCCATGGCAAGATCCTGACTTTTTCAGCAGTTCTTCAAATAAACCAGAGATTTGGGTTCGGTTCCTAATAGAGTCGTCAATTGTTGATGGTTAAATTCATCAAAAAAGAATTAAGAATTTCGAAATGTATTAATGTGAATTGCGATGAAATAAATGCGAATTAAAGCAAATAAAAATAAGAACACATGAGAATTATAGTGGTTTACCATGAATTTAAGAGTGAGAAAATACACGGGAATACTCTGAAAGAGACTTAGAGGATTTTTTTACCTATTAATCCCCTGTTTATAATGCTCGTTACCACCCCTTTATTTCTCTTATTTAAATTAGGGATATTTCCTTATCTTTTGAAAAAATATCCCAAAAGATAAGGATTCCACTCAATTAGGGCGGTTTGCTTATTTGAATTACAAATATAGATTTGTGGAATGTATCTTGCGGATCCCTTCTTTTCTGTAGCCTCGACTTTGTAAGGATATTTCAAAGCCTCTTCACCCTAGGCGTAACCTGAAGTGTCATCCTCATGAATGCTCTCGAAGCCTTGTAAAGGCTCGACACCTTGTCTCTTATACCGACGATGTGGCACTAGGGCTGAGTTGTCGTTGGGATCTTAGTGGCATTCTTTATGGCATCCGGGCCTCTTTATTGGGTCTCTGTTTAAACCCTACAACACTCCCCATTTTCAGCCATCAGATATGGATCGAAAACTATTTGTTCTATAATCGTTTTAATCTGATCTGATTTTGACCAAATCAAGCAGTCAGAAATTGGCCTATACCCAGAGAAACTCCTAAAGTTTTTAAGGAGGAAAGACAAAGAAGCAGGATAAATGTTGACATAGCGAAAGGGGTAAAACATCACAACAATATCAAATTATCCCCTAATTATTAGCCAAATAATAAGGTGAATAGTTCAACTTTTTTTGTTTTTGTTTTTGTTTTTTGTTTTTTTGCCTTTTTCAGAGAAGGTGAAATAATTTAGTTTGTTAAACATTAATGTAGACATAATTTTTTGACATAATCAAGGTTTTTTTTTTTTTTCCGTTGCCCTTATTAAAAAAAAAAGGTTTCCTTTCAATGGAAGACCCAAAACTCAAGCGCGTGCGATGAAATAACACGACACAAAATTCAATTTAATTTTGTTCCTTTGAGCCAGAATTTATGCCAGAGCATATAAATTCACCTGATCACCTATTTGTATGTTTAAGTTTCCTATATTATTGATACTATTGGGCTCTGTTATTTTTACAATTTGAATCACACTTATCTTTTTTTACTACAATGTTTTCTCTCAAAAAAATTCAAATTTAACTTTTTATTACGGTGTATTTTCTCACATAAATTCTCTTTTAAATTCAAGTTTTCAACTCAAACCCACAAAAAAAAAAAAAAAAGGGGCCATAGTATAATGACACTTTGATTCTAAACTTTTAGTTTTGAAATATAGCATCCTCCCGTCAATAAAATAGATTTCTGTAATTTAATAAAGATATATAATCATGTGTCCATATAACAACATCTTAAGCAAATAATTGTAATTATAAAAATTATCAAGAAAATAAGCTGTAATTTATATGTAATTATTAGCTTATGATGTTTTATGTCCCAAACCTATATATGATATGTCATGTTAAGTTTCATCTCACTGGTGATTGCGAAAAGGCTCAGTGTGTCATGATACAAGAACATGGCACAAAAAGTAACATGTTAAATATACATATATATATATATATATACATATGAAGTGATAGAAAATTTTTATATTTTAATATCTTATTATATGTTATGTTATATGGTTTTAATGAATATTAAGTACGGGTTCAAGCACATCGTAAAATTTAATGTTTTTGCTTTCATGTCTTTCATTCACTTGACGTTACTTCTAATGCCTTATCTTTTACTCTGAAACAGTTTGAATTCGAAAAGCCGCATTTCACACAAAGTTGTAGATCTTTTCATTATCTTTCTAGTGCAACTTGAAATTTGCTTAATTCCAATATTGTTGCCACCCTAAAATATTCTCCTTAATCTCTCTAGTCTCTTCCTCTAGTCAAAATAATTTACTCTACATCCTCTCTCAAGTTCTTCTAAAGTCGAGAATAATTTACGTATCATTTTGATATGTGAACTACTGAAAACGGATATTTGTAGCTTAATATATAAATGTTTAAAATATGTACACTGTTGTTAGAATTTTTTGTAAGAGGGAATTTTTAGGGTACTCTCATTGTAATTTACTTCTCCTAATCTTAATGAAGTTATATTGGAATGGAGATCAAAATGTCTAGTTTCATGTGGGATAGGAGTTACACTTTTTTTTTTTTTTTTTTTCAAATTTTCTGAAATTTGTAATGATTTTTTTTTTCTTCTTTTTTCATATTCCATATGCTTATAATGTGTTGTTTTTGTTTCCACCATTCACAACGCTTTTATTTTGATATGGATGTAAGGATATTTTTAGGCTTTTTATGTCTTGGCCTTTAGCAAATAATTATATAATTTTGAGACCCCTTGATTTTTCTTTAATTATCAATTTGCATATGATAGGTTCGGATGAATAATGGTGATTAGACAAAGATCAAAAGAAAGGTAAAATGGGGGTGTTAAATTCTTATATGTAAATAAGACTTAAGAATGTGACCCTAGTTAGTATCCTTGGTAATTTTAATTCTCAAGAACAGATGATATTAGGTCATGAGACTTGGTACTTTTGGAGCAAATGAACAAGAATTCTGTATCAAGTGTATAAGCCTTGTACAACCACGTGAATATGGGAAATAATAATCAAAAGACAAAAAGGTTGTATGAGAAGAAAACAACTGGTATAGTGAAAATGAAATGCGAATAAGCGAGATAAGATAAATTAACGACTAAAATGAAATGTGAATAAAAAACTTGGGTGTTGTTTAGCATATTCAAAGTTTAGAGAAATGTGACAAAAGGAAAGATATATCATGCACATTTAGAATTTAGAATATATCTCTTATCTCTTTATCTTTTATTCTCTTAAATCTCTTGATGTTGTAAAAAAGAAGAAAAGGAGTTTCCACCTTTGACGTTTTGGTGACAAGGATTGGGATAAGACTTCTTTCCAAGTGTTACACGGCCAATCTTATCGCAAAAGCAACAATGGGCCGTTTGGAAGGTGGGTTAAAATCATGTGGTAATTTGAATATAAACCCAAATTTTATGAGAATAAACATTGTAACCAAAATTTTTAAATTCAAATGAAACTGTATTTTCTATATATTATTTTTCCTAAGTAGTAGACATCCTTAGTTTCATTTTGATCTATGAACCACTGTCAATGAAGATTTTTATTGACACCCAAATTTTTATTATGGCACCCCATCATATTTAAAAATTTAAATTATTTTAAAAAAAAATCAAAATCTCATTTAGTTCTATTGTATATACCATACTTTTTCAAATTTTGAAAACGATTTCTTTTAAAGATTTACTCTTTTTTTTTTTTTTTTTTTCCTAAATCTTTCCATTTGAACGTATTAATGTCGCTGGTTTGAATGCTTGAAACATATGACTAATGATGAGTAATTTTTCCTCCACGAAAGTATGAACTTGAAGAACAAAAGATGTTGAGAGTTTTTTCATTTTTTTAATTAAAAATTATTGAACTTACTCTTATAGTGTATGGGTCTAAATTTTTGCTACCTACTCTTGATAAATATTCTTTTAACTAATTAGTTATTTAACTAAAAAGGACATCAACCAATAATAAGAGATAAAAGCCAGACATTTGTCTACTTTTTCCATTTTTTAAACTACTGTAGAACAAAAAGTTTCTATTTAAATGATATTTTGTAACTTCAACGATTTTTTATTTTCTTTCCTTTTTGCTATTTTTATTTGAACAACTTCGAAATTACTTTTTTCAAATTAATTTATTGCGTACGTTCCTTCACTCAGTAAAAAAGAAGAAGTAGGGGAAAAAAAAAAAACAGAAAACAACCGAAATGAAAAAAAAAAAAAAAGAAATAAATTGTTTTAGTTTTATGTTTCTTTAAGAAGCTCAACCTATGAAAATCAATTCACATCGCGTACTAGTTTGTTGACAATCTACTTTTTTTTCAGCATGTTGATAACGATAATAATCTTTCAAAAACCAATACGTATTAGTCATTCATGATGGTTCACTTGTTCATTTTTTCATTTTTAAATTCTCCTCCTTTCAAAACTATGAGTATTATGTCGAACCTTCCTTCAACAAAAAAAACAAAAAGAAAAAAAAAAGATAAAGGAAGAATAAAAATGAATTATATACCTACACTAATGTTCCTCAAGTTCATACTTTACATGGAGGAGAAATTACTAAGGCCTCGTTTACTTCGCGGATTCGAATTTTCAATTCGAGTTGAAATGTGACATTTTCTGAGAGCTTTTTATTGTAGTAAAAAAAGTTAGATGTGACATTTTCTGTGAACTTTTTACTGTAAAAACTTAAAACTGAAAACTTAAATCGGTGAAATAAACGATGCCTCAATAGTCATATGGTTCAAGTCATTGAAACTAGCAATAAAAGTACCAAATGGAATTTTTTTTTTTTTTTTTTCCGCATGTTCAAATGGAAAGATTTACGGTTTTAGCCAAGAAAATAAGAAAATAAATTTTTTTAGAAACTGTTTTCTAAAGTTGAAAAAGAATGGGGTGTGCACATAAGGGTATTTATGAAAATATATGAGATTTTAATTTGGGTAAATTGCATGAATGGTCCTTAAATTTTTTAAAAAGTGACAGTTTGATTCTCAAATTTTTTTTTAACAAAATAACCCCCAAACTCTTTAAAAGATAACAGTTTGGTCATTTCCGTCTAATTCCGTTCACTTTTAACCGAAAATGTCACGTGACCCTTTTTTTAGTAAAATGACTTAAATGCCCCCACCCAAACATCTCCGGCGAAACCTGCATCAAACATATCCGGCCACACCCAAACATCTCCGACGAAACCTGCATCAAAACTCAAAAAAATCAGAGAAGCAAAATCGAGAAATCAAAGTCGAAAGCGCGGCATCAAAACTCAACAAAACCAAGTAAGCAAAATCAATTAAATCCCAACATCAAAAGTCAACAAAACTAGAAAGGGGAAATGGCGAAATCGCATCCAGAATAGCGACAAAACCAGTCTCTATTCTTCTCCGGCGATTCACGGCAGAAATATCCAGGAAAGGGATTTTGCACAATCCAGACTCTCCACAAAAAACAAAAAAAACCAAGATAGAGAAAGAGATGGACCTGGTTCACTTAGAAGCCTTTGCGTCTCCTATTCATCAATACTCAGTCTCCTATTCACTTAGAATCAACGACCTTCCTCAGCAGCCCGTTCTCAGTCTCAGTCTCAGGTTTTCTACGTCAACGGCCTTCCTCACCACTATTCAGTCTCAGTCTCACCACGTCACCACGTCAACGGCCTTCCTCAGCAGGCCGTTCTCCGGCGACGATGGCTGGTTTGCTTTGGCGGTCGTCTTCGGATCCGGACCGTCCCCGTGTTCGATGCCGATCTTGTTCATCACCAGGAAAGGGATTTTCTGAAGCGAAATCCCAGCCGCGCTCTTGATCTTCGACGGAACCCTAACTCCCCACCGGAAGTTCACCACCGCATGGTTCCTCATTGGCACGGCGGTCCTTGCCGTCACCTCCATGCCGGAAAAGAGGCCCGCGATGGACGAAGTATCGGACGGGAAAAGCGCGATCTTCTTCTCTCAAAGAAGGAGAGTAGAGAGAGATAAAAGGTAATTTCAAAGTGATTTTATTTTTTATATAAAAATATAAATGAAAATATTTTTATTTTTATTTTAAAATTATTTTTAAAAATATGTTTGATAATTTTATTTTAAAATTATTTTTAATTTTAAAAAAATTGAAATTGTGTTTAGTAATTTAATTTTTAAAAATATATAATAATATTTAAAATAATAATATATTAAATACATGAGAAAAAATGAAAAAATGAAAATGGTGTTTTCAATTTTGATTTTGGAAAAATGAGTCACCAAACACAATCTGTAAAGTATTTTCATTTTTATTTCTCAAAAAATGTGAAAAACGTTTTTAAAAATAAAAACAAACACGCCCAAAATGTGTCTCAAACATGTGATTTTACACATATACCTCCAAAAGATGGGTCACGTGAATCTAACGTGTATTTTGTCATTATATTTTATATTACAATAAACAAAAAGGATTATATTGCACTTTTTTAAAGAGTTTGAGGTTTATTTTGTTAAAAAAAAAAAAATTAGGGATTAAATTATTATTTTTTAAAGAATTTAAGAAACACCCGTACAATTTACCCTTTTAATTTAAAGAGGAAAATAATTTAAATTTAAATATTTTGGGGTGCTTAATAAACACTTGAAGTATCAATAAATTTCCCTTCATGTTTCCGTATTGGGTTTCAACAACATTACTCGTGTATATTGATTCATTTAAATAATTTACTGGAGAATGTAATAAATAGTATATTTATGAAATTAAATTAAATAAATAACCTATTTTAATTTTATTTGAAGTAAATAACATATTTTAATGTTATTTGAAATAAATAGCAGTATATTGTATGAATGTTTCATTTACGATTCGTGAAAAGATTTTTTTTTCATGTAACTTTTCTTTTTATGACTGCTAAATGGATTTTTTTACTATGTACCTTATTTTTTAACAGTCGTAATGAAAGATTTACATAGTAAATTGTTATTTATTTCGAATAGTTTCAAAATCTACTATTTACTTAATTTAATTTTGAAAATCTGATATTAACTATAATTTTTTATGATTTATGTTGCAAATGGGCTTCCGTTTAATGAATTAATCATTATCATTTTTGGATCCCAATCGTAGTTACCAGTTTACTATTAAAGAAAGTTGTACTAAATAACATATTTATAAAACTAAATTAAATAAACAATAGATGTTAAAACTATTTAAAGTAAATAACAGGTTACCGTGTAAATCTTTCACTTATAAAGCGTAAAAAATAATTTATGTGGTAAAATAACTTTAATTATGTGGATGAAAATCTTTTTTGCCTCGTTTACTTCGCAGATTCGAGTTTTCAATTTGAATTGAGATGTGATATTTTCTGAGAGCTTTTCACTGTAACAGAAAAAGTTAGATGTGATATTTTCTGAGAGCTTTTTACTGTAGAAACCTATAACTGAAAACTCAAATCGGTGAAATGAACAACGCCTTTATGATTCGTAAAAAGAAAATTTATGTGGAAAAATTACTTTTTACTAGTCGTAAATGAAATATTTACACAATAAATTACTATTTATTTCAAATAGTTTTAAAATATGCTATTTACTTAATTTAGTTTCATAAATCTACTATTATGTTATTCCTTTAATTAATAGCACAAAAAATTTGGAAAAAAAAAAATTAGCATCACGTCATGGATTAATAAAATTTTCCACCCGCTCCACTAACGCGATGGACGTGTATCCAAACCAATCTTCTCAACCCAATTCAATTACTCAATAGTCCAGCTCCGATATTTAGGACCCGTTTAATTTGTTAATTCAAGTTTTTAATTTGAGTTGAGATGTAAATTTATTTGAGAGCTTTTTACTGTAGTAAAAAAGTTAAATATGATTATTTATGAGAGTTTTTTACTGTAATAAAACTCGAATTGATAAAATAAACGGGATCTTAATTTAGTACTCAACATATCAATATTCAAATATGTTGGTTCCCGAATCGAATTCGGGTGCGGAAGCGTGGGAAAAACAGCGGATCGTGTATAACAAAAATTTTCATAAAACTTTTGAGATACTCTATAGATTATATTAATTTATTCACGAATAAATTAATCACATTAATTTATATCATTCAAGGATCAACCGAAAAATACCTGGAAGCCGACTCGGATGATAACTTGAATTTCTTTGACCACGAACAGTCCTTGCTCCAAGCTTTGTGTTTAGAATACCAAAGTCTTCCACGTCAATTCCTTGATTCCACGTAGACGTGTGTGTGGG